CTTTATTAGCTCATACACAAGGATCATCCACGTGGAATTAGAGCAACAAAAAAATATATATCATGACAATTTAACTTCCTTCAGATGTAGGAAAATAGGAGTAAATCACATTGTACAAAACATGCTTTGCAGTTGCTGTACATGATACATAATTAGTGGAATTTACTCAAAACCACAGATACCTTATCAATATTTCGCTGTCTTTCCCTAATTGTTCGTGGTACATCAGAGCCACAGGCGGGGGTTAGGCAGGTGATCCCTGATGGGGGTGGAGCTGGTCCTGCTTCACATAAAATCAATTCTGGTCTTTGGTGTTGGCAAGCCAGCAGGGTTTGGGGCGAGGGGGGAACACATGTCTGACACCTCCTGACTTTTTCATGAGGTAGTGTTTGAAGTTTTAAACCCCACAGAGGATTCTTGGGGCGATGAATATAAAAGGGGTGCAGCTTAAAGCTCAGGCATATTATCATCAATGAAGACCGTTACTCAGTTTGATGAAGAAAGTCAAATGATTAGATTTTGATGCATCTCAGCGAGTAATTTTAAGACCTGGAAGAATTACTAACAATATTACACCCTTCAAAAGCTAATTTATTTAAATGTCACAATAATGGTTCTTCAATAATGGCATGTGTTTTCCTTAATGATGGACGTCCTTTCTTTATAAGCTGCTCTTAAGTCGTCTTTGTCTTGAGTGGTTCTGTTCTCTCTCTGTTCATGTGCTGTGGCGGGCACAAAGAAGAGGAGCATGACCTCAAAGCATCTTTTGTTGCTGAGGCAGTGGAGGGTGGTGGCTGTGATTCATGTGATGGGGTGAGGAGGTGTGGTAGGTACTGAGGAGGGTGGGCCGACAAATACAAGCTTGAGTTCTACTGTCCCGGTGGTCCTGTCTTTCTTGTAATAACTCTACTCTGCTATTCTTTTAAAAACGTTTGATAGTAACATGTTCATCTATAGGACTGCGAGTGTTCGACATGTATCCAAGGAGTAAATGTTTTCAGTACTGTTTGTTTGTTATATTGAGTCCACATACACCATCCTGTAAATACTCACTAAGGCACCAAAATGTGTATTGATCCTTTTCCAGCTGAAAATAGTCCCCAACAAATGCACAATATATACTCCTGTTTGGTTAAAGTTTGCTAAAAAATTCAGTCTCCATATTCTTTTCTATTCTATTCTATTATATCATATCTAAACTAAACTATATGTTATTTCTTCAGTAGGAACCAGTGGTCTTGGGTAGAAAAGTTGCAAAGTATAAAGAGATGGACTATTGTATTATTGTTTTTGTTGTATTTTAAGGGATTTATTGACACTATTTATTGACACTATTGTCATGTTAGTTGGTTGCTGATATCTTGTATGCATGAACCATTTAGTGAATCATAGTGAATCAGTGAAGTGCATTAACTCATTGTGCAATTACAAACAAATGTAGACAATGCACACACATATATAAATACACATGAAGTACATATAAAACATTGTGATGGTTTTTCAACCAAGGTATAGGTGATACTGGAGCAAGATGGTACATTTAAAAGTCCAAATTTAAATGTGGTAATGGGTCCAAATCATATGAAAGTTTTCACAAATGCAAATTAAACATTTTCTATAACTAACAATTGAGAAATGCGCTTCCTGAGTGTTTTTTATTTTCCAACCTTACAGTAACTGGCACACATTACATTGAACAGTGCTCCAAATCCAAAGAAGTGTCATTTGACTTCCTCTAACAGATGCTGGTGCTCGTCTCAGGGAAGTGCAATGTCCTGGATCTAGTGGCACTGCCATATAACTGCTGTATAAATAGATTCCTATGACAGAGCCATTCATCTCCAGCCATGAACACATCAACATTAAAAGACAGCTCACAGAGACCTCTGCGCTTGTTAGGGCAAGATCAGCAGTCCAGATGCCCAAGATGTAAACTCGTGAAGGGAAGATTAATTTATCTGTCATCTCTGCCTTTGACAGTGGGTATAAATCTGATTTAGCTGTTGAGCAGGGGCCATGAAGAAGGGCAGTTGGACATTAAGATTTCAAAGGAGTGATATCAAGAGGACTAACTCGTGACACATGGCCTGCCACAAATGGGTCAAAAGTTCTTGTGGGATGTACCATGTGTGTGGTGTGATGTTTTGCAACTTTGGGAAAAAAAAAAATAAATTAAAAAAAGACTTCCGCGCATTTTTTCTTGTTATTTTCAAAATGGTGGCAATCATGTGAGGCGCCTCGGACAAAAAGCGGGCACAGGGTGTCAAAGGAGCTATTTACTGGTAGATGGATGGGAACAGGCGCTACGAGGTGGTCACATCCTGTGACCATCTGCACGGGAGTCATGCTAGTTATTCAGATCAGACACAGATGCTCGGGCATAACACAAGCCTCTATGCAGATATTTGGATGCGTGACAAAATGTTTAGTGCCACAGTTCATGGAGTGTCAAGTGGATTCTGACATGCCAGCATTTTCTACAGGTTAATTTGTGTATTTCTTTTGCCAAATAGCTGCTGTCTTATGTCTGTGTTTGTCTTTTGATGAACTTAACGTCATCCCCTGTAGAACTTCAGATTTGTCAGTGTGACCTCACATTATTTCTGTTTTTGTGAAATTAACTTCAGCCTCTTCAGAGCCTCTAATTTTAAGCCGTCAGGAGGTCGTTTACTCCTTTTTTTCTTCAGCTAAAACTATCAGGGGGTTAAAGAAACTGAGGCATTTGCTGACACTGAAATTACTCTGTGCATAACACACTGCTTTAAGATACTTAAGGTGGGGATAAGATGTCATACCACATTAAACAGCTAAATGACCTGATCACAGCAATGTGTAGGTGTAGTGTGGGTGGGAGGGGCGACACACGATGATGAATCTCTTCCCTTGAAGCCTTTTTCTTTTCAACGTGTCTTTGTTGCTTTCACTCAGATGGAACCACACTCTTTGTGTGGTAAACAAGACGGTTTTGTGACAGGAACAAAGAGTGAATAGAGGTTTTTAAGGAGTCTATTGTTACTGCGCATATGTATGTCAAATGCAAGGACACTAAATACTCTAAGCAGTCCTTTTTACTTACATAGTTGTATAATGCATTATACAACTATGTAAGTGCTACATGTAGTCTGCTGCAGTGGCGGAAAAGTGGATATTTGCTCAAGTCTTGTGCTTCAGTATAATGTTGAAGTATAGTACTTGAGCATTTCCATGTCAGACTACCTAATCCTTTTACTACTTTTATAAGTAGTAGAAGTAAACGTAAAAAGTGTTTAAAATGAGCTCTACTGCAGTCAGTTAACACAATTTAAATGCTGCATACACATTCAGGCACCAACACTACTACTACTTCTGCTAAGTACATTTTGCTGAAAATGCTTTTGTACTTTTACAAGCAAGCCAATGTAACACTTGCTGAACAGCGGCCACTGTGCCAACAAGTAGCAATTACGGGATAATGGTAAATGCTAAAACTTATCATAACAGTAGCGTAACCGGTTGCCCCCAAGTACGTACTACACAGTCCAGAGGGAGGCGGACACACTGATGAGGAGGCTAAAACCCATGGCCTCTGGTGTTGGTCGCCATTGCATCTATTGAGGTGTTACTCAACTGCACAGCCTCGCTGGCTTCTGTTACAGTAGCACAGGTAGACAAGAGTCATAAAGTCAGCAAACAGACTTGGTTAGTCAGTTACACAGCAAAGTCTAATTAATATTGGCTACCATTAGCCACCATAAGCTACTGGTCATACCAGACCAAGTTAGGCTGTAGCAGCAAAACCCCTGATTGTAATGAATTTAGCAATGGTGAGATGTATTGCTTATGAATTCAATGTTCAATGTTCATGTTCATTTGAAAGCAGAAGATTGTGTTATTTGTCTTTAAAAAGTTCCATAGTCTCACTTTAAGGACAATTCTGAATGCACTTACATGTAATTTAGTATTTTTACATTGTGGTATTGCTACATTTACTTAAGAAAATGCTTTCACTACTCACAAAAACACTGGTCGGCTGTTTAAAATCACAACTCATTTTTCATCCTTAACTCCAGTAACTTATAGTAACTTTAATAAAGTAAATTTCAGTGGCCTTTCCCTAGTAAATTCCTGTACATTACAGTACAAAGTAAGTTATAATGTACTGCTGACTTTAGTGAAGCTAATTACATTAATGATGGCATCAGTTACTCAACTGGTGTGGTTTGGCCACTGGGGTGCATTTTTTCCAGAGCTGTTGCACGGAGGACACTGGGAATTTTGACATGTCAAAGCGTCCAGGGCCAGAAGCAGGATTAATGGCCGCCTGCCTGCATCCAAGGTCCTTCAGCAGTAATTGCAAGCAGAATCCGACTCTATGATCTCAGCAGCGGTATGCAACATGCCAAAACAGCCTGCTTTTGACAGATTGCCTTCCTGCAGCAATAACTTAAGCACGTTCATTCTCTCAAATTAGGCACCGCATGCCTCCCACACCACAAAACAGGAGCAATGACTTCTTTTCACCTCCTCTGAATATATGTCTCCGTATATATTTCCCTGCTTTGACAGATCTGAAATCTGCTTAGTTGGTCGTATCACTTTATCTTCAGTTGACAAGTGTTGGGAAATGAAATGTTTTGAATAAAAGATGTAATATTCATCTCTTACAGCATGGACGTTGTTAGGCCTATTTTAGGGGGACTGAAGCCACCCTAACATGGTCCTAAGCCCCCCAAATAACAATAAGAAAAATAATTATTAGATTTAGATTTTTTATTTATTTATTTTTTTTTACAGTGCAGACATGTCCTCAACAAAGAGAAGCAAGAATATTGATAAATACTATAGAATAATACAAATATAATTTGGTATAATAATACAAATATAATCTGGTTGTAAACTCTGCTTCATAATTTAAATCCCTGCTGTGGTCAGGCACTAGGACCCTGAGGGAGGTCGTGTTTCATTGCTGCTCTGCCAGCTGCCAAGTAACACAGAGAGAGACACACACAGACATGGTGAAGGAAGACTGATTCAGCATAGTGAGTGATACAGAGTGAAACTGTAAGTTGTTTTTGTGACTGTTATTTGCTGAACTTAAGCTATGTTTACTTGAGGTAAAGGAAAGGGGATATTTTAGTTGGCTATAGAAAACACTAGTGTTGATAATGTGAACGCCATTAATACTGCCTATGTCTAGTAGCCTATTTCAATCAGTCCCTATAGAATGTTAGTGTCAGTGAAAACTATATGTTATAGTGTCCCTGTTAATGCTGTTGTATATCCTTCCATTCACTGACCAGATGGATATTATATTTTAGGAGAGACAGAGAGAAGCGGGAGATTGGCAGGGCAGCTGATTCTGAGGTCAGTTGTGGTCTACAGGTCTAAGTAAATGTGGGCTGTTTTGTTTTCTTCTAACAACAGACAATTTTTGGCAGGTGTAGGCACCAAAGAAAATTCTAAACTAAATTATTTCATGATATTTATTATATTTGCTATATTCTGGCAAATTTAACTTTCTGCATTCATTGACTGTAATAAATTAAATAAATATGTAGATGTTGCCTAAATGGCTAGGCTATACATGGGCATGTAATGAAATAAAAGCAATCATACATACATACATGTATATAAATATAGTAATAATTACTCCAAATTTTTATTCCTTCCACCACCAGGTTATTAAATTCAGACAGTAGCCACTTTAAAGAGGATCATTATCAACAGCTTACGTATGAATGCTTAGCCAAACTACAGAGCAAAATCACACTGTGATTGAACAGTAATTGGTGTAATTAAATAGCATTCTTTAGACCTGCAACTTATTTAATAGAGAGAGGAATTAGACATGGTATTACTTTATCACACATTTACACGTGCAGCTGGGTAGCATTTAAGTCACAGCCTACAGAAGAACTCAGTCTGGCCTAAGTGAATTCCCCCATGTAGCGTTGATGTGTCTAAGCTAACATTACATGGGCGTCGGAACCATTGTATGTGGGTGGGACAAGACACTCCCGCTTTTTAAGACCAGTGTTATTGGACCCACTCACTTTTACTGTCTGAGATTCAGCAAATCTGTTTGTTTACCTTTCAGAGCGTTTTCAATCAAATCCATTCCACACTTGAGGAATGCACTAATAAATTAAACTCCATTGTACAGCTGTCACTTTCACACTGCTGCTTCTTCAAATCCATTCCACTTGGCTCATACACTTATAGTCTATATAAATTAAACTCCATTCCTTGTTTTAACTGCTTGCGCCTGCTGCTCTGCTGTGACACAGCGAGGTAAACACATGCTGCTCAGGTGTGTCTTTGTGTCGTCATTAAAAAAAACGCTTTTTAAGTGAATGTTCATCATTTGTTTACCTGATACTTTTAAGGGCATCATGTAGTCTTTGTTGCTGCATTGAAATACAGTTACACTTACCCTATCTTGTTATAACAGTTAAACAGAGTTATCTGATATTTTTACTAGGCTAGCTAGCTACAGTAATGTTAACATTAATCAACCAGTGTTAGCAACTCTTTGAATCCTGGTCAATGAGAGAAGCTAGCTGTGGCCAGTCCATCACAGTTATTAAAAAAGAAGAATCTTATTTTAATATAATATATTTTTTATTATTTTTTTAATATTTACATATTTAATAAATGACTTGTCAACTTTCTTGATGATCACAATATTCTGCATAAATGCCAAATTGTTTTTTTTACCAAATTGCCGCACATTGGACCATATATTTACCGTCCAGACTTTTATTGATCAAGATTTAAACATTAAGAAAAGAAAGGTATATGCCTGTTTTGTTGACTTCCAAAAAGCCTTTGATTCCATCTGGCACAAGGGCCTTTTCTATAGACTACTTGAAAGTGGCATTGGAGGAAAAACATATGATTTGATTGAGAACATAACATATACAAAAAGTGAATGTGCCATAAAGATTGGAAACAAACAAACAGCGATCAGAGGTCTTCTGTATGCAGATGACTTAGTGTTGCTTTCACCTACTAAAGAAGGTTTGCAGCAGCGCCTTAATCTTCTACAGAGATTCTGTCAGACCAAGGCCCTGACAGTAAACACAGCAAAGACTAAGATAATGATCTTTCAGAAACAATACAGAAATCAGGTTACACACAATTTCTATTTAGACACCACTACATTACACATACAACAACCAAAAAAAGTACACATTAAAATCTATATTCCAATTGAAATCTGGCTTAAAATGTTCCAGTTTGTACTAGAACAAATAATTCTATATTGCAGCGAAATTTGGGGGCCAAAACTAAATAATGAATTTGACAAATGGGACAAAACAATCATAGAATCTTTCCATACCGAGTTCTGTAAAAGCATCCTGCAGGTGCAGAGATAAACACCAAATAACCTGTGCAGAGCAGAGCTCGGCCAATACCCCCTCTTACTAAAAATACAGAAAAGATCAATTAAATTTTACAATCACTTAAAATCCCCCAGAAACTCCCAGTTAACCCCAAGACATACCATCACAAAGCCCTAACATACCAGCAGCTGAAACCAGAGAAGAGTTCCCTCAGCCAGCTGGTACTGAGGCTCTCTGCAGTAACAAGTCCCCAGCAACCTCAGGACAGCAACACCAACTCAAGCAGACCAAACCAAATTATCAACAAGCAGAAAGAAAAATATATTGAATACTGGAAAGAAACGACCAAAACACAAAGTAAATTACAATGTTATCTGACCCTTAAAAGAGAATTCACACTGCCAAATTGCCTGAGCATAATAAACTAAGAAAAATGTTGACAACATACAGACTGAGTGAACACAGCCTGGCCATAGAAAAGGGTCGCCACAGACAGAGACTCTGCTCCCAGTGTGACACAGGACAGGTAGAGACAGAGCTGCACTTTCTAACCTCGTGCCCTAAATATAAAACACTAAGACAAAAACACTTTGCAAACATTTCCCAAAGATACCCCGAATTCAAATTTATATCAGACACACATAAACTCCCCTATGTCCTTGATGTAATTATGTTGTGTTTTTGTGCTAAACTGTAAAATGTTCAAAATTCATACAGATTGTTCATAAAGTGAAGAAACATAAATAAAAGTTGTTTTCGCAAAATGTGTGTCACTTTACTTAAAGCAAACAATTACGTGTTATAAGGTATTATAATTAGTTCATATGGTATTACGTCCACCTGTAATATACAGGGATAGATATTTTAACACTTTACTTAAAGCAAACAAAGACATTCTATATAACTTTAAACATTACTATAAGCTATTATTCCATTTTATATCACTAATTGTAAATGGTGACTAAAGTGTATCCATAACGAGGCGGAGTCGGTGGTTATAATGTGTTATGGAACATGGTCGGAGATTCTTGCCGCACATTGACATAAACTGGTATTACTATTAGTTATAAAACATTAAATCAAAAGGTCATAATATGTTACGAACTTTGCTATAGCGCCTAATGCATGTTTGTAAGTGATTATAACAATTGTTATAATGTCTTATGGACGCATTATATCGTGTTATAAATATATGCATAAGTCATTATAGCGATGACCTTCATAGAAAGTGTTACCGATTGTTCTTATGTAGTTTGTATGATGCTTTGGCAATATTGTTGTTACACATTTATGCCAATAAAGCTAATTTGAATTGAATTGCTCAAAATATTATCGTTTCTCTCTCTCTCTCTCATATCTATCTATCTATCTATCTATCTATCTATCTTTGACGCCCATGTAACATTGGAAGAACAGAGTATGTCTGTTGCTTTTTATTTGTTAACATCTTGGCTTCTTCACTGGTTGTTGATACAAGTGTAGTTCTAATACTGTAACAAAAGATGCAAGTGCAAAGTTTTTGCAGGCGCAAGTTACGCATACCCTGGGGGCTAAGCCCCCCCTGTCTGTCAATCCTAGTGACGTCTCTGTCTAACAGCTTTGCAGTTCTCCAGGCTTGTGCAGGAGTAAATCCCACTGTGGTTCTCTCTCTCATTCTCTCAGTTTATAGTTTGTGTCCAGCCCCGGGACAGAGGGACTCCTATGTGCTGCTCTGTGGTGGGTTGTGTTCTCTGGAGCAGTTAAAAGCCTGGCAGCTCCACCCCATGACTGTCCAAACACAGTTGACTCAAGGCATCCACATCAAACAGAGCTCTCTGCAAAGCCTATTGGAAAGTTAACCATGGGGTGCTGAGCTTATTTATTTATTTTCCACACAAAAAATGTACCTGGCCTCAATTTTTTTTCAAATGTTTTAAAGCAAAATTTACTTGACGGGACATAGCTGTATTTAAAAAGCAGTTTTGACACCGCACCTGATTCTGCTCAGCTCTTCTGGACCAAGTCAAAACCAAGATTCAGAGCAAGTAACAAGAAAAGACAAGTCAATGAAAGATCCTTTCAGTCTGCTCCTCAGTGACACTCACAACGGACATGTCGGAACAAAATTAACTTTCCTGGTGGTGTGTGTTTTAGAGCGCACGCACTGCAATCAGTAATTCATCCTGCCTTGAGATCCTTTGACATTGACTTTCAAGGGTAGATGCTATGTGAAAATGTAAATAAACGTTAGAGGAGCTTTGGGTCAGTGTGGGATGAAATTTATAGTTTTGGCATTTACTCTGCAGTCATCATTCATCCCCCTGTCGAGAGCAGAAGCCTTGATCAGCAGAGCCTCCGTTGGCCCTCAGATGACCCCCAGGCTATCTGACCAGCTGTGGTTCAGATGCCTCAGTCTGAGATGTTCACATTACTGTAATAACTGAGACTATTAACCCCTTGTGCACCACAACAGCCTCAACAAGAAATCAGGTCTTTGTCTTTGTCTTATTTCAGTGCTGGCAGGAAATACATTTAGATCTCTGGGGTAAATATTAAATGGTCAATTCACTTAAATCAGACCAAAAACCCTAATATATTCTCTCCTTTAGCCCCAATACAATGTTCATGAAGAAGTTCGTGAAGACTGAAGTCTTCAGTGGTCTTACTCTGGACAGTTTTCAAAGAGACTATTTTTCAGGAAAAGTGAAATCAGAGTCGGTCTGTGGATTATCCGAACTTTTTTTCTGGAAAGGAATGGTGCTGTCCAAATTTCATTTATAAACTCTTTGAGTCATAAAAAAACAAAATTTAGTTCTCTTCTATTGTATTTGTGTGTTGGTGGAAAAACTTAGAGGCTGATATCTCAAAAAGTTGGTGCATAAAAAAAACGATTCACGTGGCTAGATGCTACTAGGCTATGTTTTTTGTTATTTGGGTGTTCTGACCCTTTAAAGAGGAAATTAAATGTCCTCATTGTAGCCTAGATTTTAATGGATTTGGCAGGTGCTCCAAACTCTACAGGGTGTGCGCACTATGTAGCAGAATGTACAGCCCTGTAAAAGCCAAATCAAAGTGTAATAATGGGAAGGTGGCCTTCAAGCAAAGTGCCAATTATTTTAAATTGCTCCATTAAAGGCAGCAATCACAACTGTCATGTTAGCATTTGGACATACCACTCACTTCTGGTGGTTCATGTAGGTGTAACTAAAGTGTAATAAACACATGTAGATTTACATAACCTCATGAAACAAATGATTTTGTTTGCTAACTGCTTGCCATAACACATAACTGACTGACAATGGAAAAGCTAGACATTTTCTCACTTCAACTGAGAGAACAAAGCCCCTTGCTGTTTTTCCTCCTTTTAACAGGTGAGTGCTCCAGCTATTAATTCGTGTAGGGCCACCTACTTTAATTGGTCTTAATCTGGAGTGAGTGGCTTTGATCTCTCTGACAGTTTGACTGCATTAGCACGAGTGTGCAGGCTAATCCTTTGCGTAGTTTGTTCTTTTGGCACAGTCAGAGGCCTGTCCAGCGATAATATGTCAGCTGAGGGATAAGCCCTCATCAAACAACCAGGTCTAAGCTTCTAGAAAATGGGGGTTGAAGGGCCACTATCATGCTGTGCTTCAAACAAAGATAGAAATGTAAACCAACTATGGCTTGGAGTTTGTAACCGTAAGATCAAACCTAAAGTGGTATATTTACAATATTTTCCAGGTCTTTGCCATTTACGTAAACTTGTTGTTGTTTCTGTACCTTCTGTCCTGTGACCGCACTTCTTGCTTTATGAAAAACACTTTATGGTTCTGTAAACACGAGCAACTCCCGAGTGTTAGTGAATTCTTTATGTCCTTCATCCCTCTGTTCATGCACTCACTGCATGCATGATCCACATGTCCAAACAGTGGCTTTATCTGTGTCGTGTCATCTTATTAGGAGGTAACAAGTGTATGAAGTGTTTGTCCTGAACTCGAGTTGAACTCTCAGGAATTACGATAACCATCTTACAGTCAATAATATCTGCTTTCAGGAGGGGAATAGAGAGAGTGTGTTTGAAATGAAGAAAATAGAAGTAATTGTGCTTCCCTAGTGATTATATCACACATCATGGTGATTTACTTATCATGACTGGTATATCTTGACTTCAGTGGATCTTTTGTTTTTGTGTTTTATGATGGAGGAATGTTAGCTGAGCTTTCTCCAGGGTTGCATGTGAAGAGGCCAAATATAAGTTAATGCTAATTCAAAGAGGACAGTTAGAAAGCAAATGGGTTCAGAAAGGATATTATGGTCATATATCACTGTAAGAAACATTGTTTTCTTCCACTTCTATCCACTTTTACTGCCTTTAAGGTTTGTTGTTTTTAGTATTTTGGAGAGCACTGACATTTATCGGATGTTTGTTGTTGGCTGTGAATGTGTTGTTTGGGCCTTAGCAAAGTAAGAAAGCAATGACTGTGGCTTTTAATTCAACACTGATTTCCTCAGTTCTTTCATAGTACATTTTATTTTAAGCCATTGAGGATATATATATATATATATATATACACACACAGCCTCCGCTGCAAGCTAACAGGTGAGATTCATGCTGTTACTTTCTAATAGGACAGCCTCACTTTTATCTACCATCTTTACTAAGGCTGCACTCAGATGGCAGGCCAAAGTGACTCACATCTGTTTTGTTTTTTTATTTTGTGAACAGCCCAGGTCACATGGAATCTGATCTTTTCCATTTCAGATTTGAGCCACTTTCATATGTGGGACCAAATCCGATACAGGTTGGATTTTTAAAATTGTCCGGACAGTCAGATCGTATTTCATGTGACTCTAATATTACTCTAGAGCGGCCAACTCTGCGCTAGATGGAGCCACAGTGAATAAAAAAGTTCCACAAAAGCCATGATTAAACATGTTCTCCTCTTCCTTGCTATCATCTGCCCACAAATTCTCTTTCTTCCAACTGAAATCCACCAGATCGCGATTTATCTTCTGTGTTACGTGCATGCTATACTTCTCCAAGTGGAAACAGTAGGGAGAGAGAGGGAGAGAGGCTGTGGACAGTTCACACTTCAGTCTGATATGGGCTGGTTGTGAATTTTGAATTCAAACATATCATTACAGATCAAAAATTTAAAAGAATAGTTTGATATTTTGGGACACTTACTGGCTTTCTTTCTGAGAGGACTCTGATATCCGTTCCTGAAGTACTTTACTGACACAACAACTCGTTATTTTTTTTACACTTACACACGAATTTTGTACAGATTAAACAAACAAGATGTAACATGATAGTGGGTGAGTTAAAGGTTCAGTGTGTAAGATTTAGTGGCATCTAGTGGCGAGGGTTGTGGATTGCAACCATCTGTCCAGTCTACCACTGCCCCCTAACCTTTCAAAGAGTGTAGGACAGCTACAGTGGTTGACAACAGCACAAAAGGTGTCTCTTCTGAGAAAGCAGAGAGTGGCCAGTCAAGAAATGAGGGTTCTTTAGGTATATTTATTAAGAAATTATATTTACTTAATTATTCAGTAAAACCATATGTTATTGTGACTTGGCCATTGACAGATAACATGGAAAGTGTAAGCAAAGAGTGTGAAACACTGTCACTGTTTCTGCACCACAGTCCATTATAAACCACACATTAGATAAAGTTCATACAAACATTGACAAGGGAAACATATTAATTCTCTCTGTGATTATGGACTCTTGCCAAAACTGCCCACCAACAATAATAACTGATTACGGTGCTTTGATAGCGGCAAAAAATATATTTAAATAAATGCTTTGATAGCAACAGTTACTCACATAATCACTTCCTCTTTAGTGGTTTTACCTACAAAATAAAAGTGCAGAATCTTGTTTACTGTAATGCAGTATTTGGAGTTGAACTGAGCTGAAAATTCTAAACGACATTAGAAAAGTCTATAGCCTGCTTGACACTCCTCCGAAAGAGCTGCCAAAGAACGTGATTCCCCTAAATGTCCTCTGCGTGGAGATACTGGGGAATTGAAAAAGCGTCCTTAGGTTGATGGATGCTCATCAAACACTGAAACAAAAACATGCCGTGATCTGAGAAATGCTGGAGAATCCATTTGTTGAAAAGAGAGAGAGAAAATTTTCTTAAAGTGGGATTGAATCCTCCACCCTTGGGTTTCAAGTCCTGTGCTTAACTGACTGAGCTAACCAAATAACATCTTGATGCACGTCAATATTATGACTTATTCTCATCCACCATGTACTGATCGAAAATATTGTTCAGATGCAAAACTTAAATGCAGACACCTGCAGTATATTATTACTACTTCTTCTTCTTCTAACGTACATATTCAACATAGTGATCAGTGTCTGCACTGCCTAAATTCTAACAGAAGTAGAACAAGAAGAACGTAGTGACGAAACGCGCTCTGTTGCGCTATTTGTCCGTTTTCAGCTACTGTAGAAACATGATGATGCAACGTCGCGACGTCCATGGAAGGGGGACCCGCGGTTATGGAGATATAAATGGCTCATTCTAAGGTAATAAAAACATAATGGTTTATTATGTAAGGTCTTTACACACCACTGAAAATATAGTTATGGATCTTATATTGATTTCTGTCGATAGATCCTCAGAAATATTACACACTGTACCTTTAAAGAGGTGTTGGAAGGTGAAGTACTTCACCTTTGGACAGAACCAGGCTAGCTATTTCCCCCTGTTTCATGTCTTTATTCTAAGCTAAGCTAATCACCTGATGGCTCTAGCTTCATATTTGACGTACAGCTGTGATAGTAGTATTAATCTTCTCATCTAACTCTCAGCAAGAAAGCAAATAAGCGTTTTTTCTGAAGAATCAAACTATTCCTTTAATTTTCTTCTTTACTTTCGATAAATCTGCATAAGTCTATGAAGCTTGTTTTTTCACAAGAAAAAGCAAAGATTTGTGAAAATATCATAAAAAATAAAGTAGTAGTAATGTCTTCTTCCTCTTTCCTAAGTTGTTTATCATTTTGCGACCCCTAAGACTTGTGATCCCTTCACGGGGTCCCGACCCCCAGGTTGGGAATCGCTGTGTTAACAGACATTTGAAAGAGCTTTTGATGGCCCAGCTAAACAGCTAAACTGAAATATTTGTGTAAATTGGTATGTTCACACATTTCTAATAAAATACTTCTATTTGGATTGTTAATCAAATTTTGAATGATATGTTGGATTTTATTATTTTAAAAATGTGTAAGCTTCCCAACACCCTAAATCTTCTCAGCTCAATGCCTGGA